TTGCATCAGACTTTCACAGTCAGAGAAAGTAGGTGGGAGAACTAAGCACATTGATATAAAGCATCATGTGGTGAGAGAATTGCAACAAGGGTTAATCAAACTAGACTACTGTCCCACAGGAAACATGACAGCAGACATCTTCATGAAGCCGTTATCAAGAACCAGTTATCAAGAACTAAGAGAAAAACTAAATATTGTGGAACACAGAGACATGCAAGGTTGAAAAGAAGGGGTGTTGGAAAATATGGGGTTTCAACCAGGCCTGTCTCACATGAGCACAAAGCAAGGGGTGGCTTCGCTGTGGCCTAGCTTTGCTGCTTTGTGTGGGAGCGGCTTGGAGCCCGCCTTTTTCCAGTTTCCCTCACGTTCTTCTCTTCTCCTCATGGCTCTCCATGAGGTAGGAACGAATCCTCTCTCCTCCTCAGGGTTTTTGAATTAAGATTTTCAGAACCCCAGCAGCCCCTACTCCTTTTTAAATCTCATACAATTTTGGAATGGGCAATGTTGAGAGATAATCCCTGGCCGAAAGTCACTTAGTAAATTTGAAGGCCGAATGAAGATTTAAATATACATTTCCTGGCATCCAATTATTTAAGGCTGTGTTGACATAATAGGCAAAAATATATACAGTAGATAGCAAGAATGAATGCAGAAGCTCCTTCCCCTGATCCCATGATTTTATTCAAGGTTTGATTTCCGTGGTGTTCATGTTGAGACTAACTTTACAGATTAGGAAAGTGCAGGTAGAGAAAAAATAACAGTATGAGAATTACAGTATCTTGATAGAAAAATCTCTGCCATTTGATTCGTTTATTTAGGAAGTTACCTTATGGCTCGTAGATCTATGCCTTAGAGCCAAAGAGCAAGATCAGTTGGTCCAACAGGAGACATTGGTAGGTAGAGATGAGAAAAGAAAGTATTCATATGTAGGACTTCATAGGCGAAGAAGCAACTTTCCCCCCAGGCAAGCCAGAAAGAAAAAAGGTATGTTGGCAGAAACTTGGACATACTTTGAGAGTGCAGGATATCTGTGAAGATATCTGATGTGATGCAATAAGTGTTCTTAACTTCATGCCATCTAACTATAAAAAAACTAGAGCCTGACCAAGTGCAAACAGCAGCTTGGAGAAGGTAGCTTGCCTCTTCATTTTCGTGCTTCTGCTTTTCAAACGTTGACCTCTCTGACCTGTACCCCCCCCAAACACTCAGAGAATATTCTGTTGTACAAAGATACGACCAACATGACTCTTTCATTCCACACAAAGGCTGTCTCTGCAGCCTTTGTGTCAACTGCTCAGCTGCAGTGATCATCTGATTCAGATGTTTACAGAGGACGTAGCCTTAGGCAAGTGATCACAAGACTCAAGTTGCTAAAAATTAGCCAGGACTGTTCATTGCTAGGAAGAGAGGAGATTTCTGGGTACACAAATGATTTGAATACTGGCACCTTGAGAATGCAGCAGGGTGAGAGTCACTTCCCTGAGTCATGCTGCTGTTGCTTGAACACAGGATGTTGCAGTTGGACTCCTCCCCCTTTCCCTTCAAGTACATTCTTCTTTCCACTGCTCAGCACCCCTCCACAGCCTTCTGAATCAGTGGAGCAGTATGTGCCGCGTACATGTAACTTCAGTCACGTTGATTTACCACTAGCTACATCAGTATGAAAAACAGATGTAGACAGATTGTGGCTGCCAAGCAGCAATACTAAAACACCTTTAAAAGTTAAAAAATCAACCTGCAGATTATTTCTTCTAGTATGACCAGAACCATGACATTCCAAAACTTGCAAATCCCTGGAAGTTTGTAAGGTTATAATGACTAATTTAAAATAAGAAACTCATGGCTAGGTTACATTTTTATTAGGACCAATCAAAATAATCCAAGACAGAGTGAAAGGTTTTGTAGCTCTGTCATTTTCATTGGTCCTAATAAAAGTATTACATGCCTATTATTTTTGGATTTTTTCCTACAATACAACCATCTCTTTAAGGGGGAGAACATTAAAATCTTGTGGCCCTATGAAGGCTAAGGTGGTCATAACACAACACATCCAACAGCATTACATAACTATGGGGGGACGTGGGGGAGGGGGGATGCAAATTAAAAATGTTGACATCTAGACCTCAAACAATTTAGTGAATGATGCAGAATAATTGTGCCGTAAAAGCCTCATGGGGCAATACCCTTGCAAATTATTTTTATATAAGGCATTACAGATTAGATGCATGCAATGTTATTCCAGACTGGCCAGTATGCTCATTATGAGATGTCTGAAGAGCATATGTATGTGGGTTTATGTGAAGCCAAAGTTAAATACAAATGAATGAGTAGTGACAATTATGTCCAGACTTAATTACAGTACATGCAAAATAAGTAGAATTATCTTTTTGGTGTCTAGAAAAGCAGGCAAGCCTCAGCGCATCAGGTATCAATGTGGCCAAGCAGTTGCCATTGCAACAGCACCCCTCTCTAGGGAAGAGTGGCACAGGTGGGTTTCTACATCTGTGAATGGTCACCTTTTTCTCCTTTAAAAAAGCAAAAGAAGCAATCAAGCCCTGTGAGCAAGTGAACTGCTGCTGCTTTTTTATCTGTTTGGGCAGCCAAGGGAGGACAGGTGCTTTCTACTTCTATCAAAGAGGAAAAAGAGGTGAAAAAGGCTTGCTCCCCCTCAGAAGCAGATGGCTACCTCCTCTTTTGCCCCAAGGGCAGAAGGTGCGTGAAGGATGCACGTTGGTGAGGGCCCCTTGGAGTCACTGATGCTAGCCTACACTAATCAACAAATGTCCTATTGCCAAATGCAGTCGCAATTCTACATAATCGTTGCAACTGCAAATAAATTCTAATGAAGGAAATTCAAGTTATTCTCTAGTAAGTGTATAAAACATCAGACCAACTCTAGGTGTTTGTGTGTGGGGGTGGGAGGGGTTCTTATGCACCGTGTGGAGCTATTATCTGGAAAAGGGGATCACCACTACCACTTTAGTGGTATATATAGAGGGCAGCATACAAACAGAGTTGGCCCTAAGGGGCTTAATTTTATAAACGTTTTATAAAACGATTAAATAAATAACTTCCTGATTCGGACCTGTATAGAATTGCACTCTTAATTGGATCCAACATTTTCTCACTACCTTCTCCTATATTCCTATGAAATACAGAGTTTGTTAAGTTTAAAAAACAACAACAAAGAGCAATCTCATTTAATCTTGCCTTTCCATCTGCAAAGATGTAGCTTGGATTTCGTCACCGACGGCAGTCAGAGTGTTCCATTGATCATCTGGGAAGGAACTCTCTGAGTAACCACTTCAGATGTGTCGCCTTTTCTCTCCCCCACCCCCAGTTGGAATGGTGCAGTCTAACGAAGCAGGCGGAGGCAGATGCTGATTTTACCCAGAGTGACGTCACACTGCCTGTCTTGGACTGTGTGTGTGTTTATTGTGTATCCTTTGATCAGCTGGTCTAAAAGCAGGCGAATCGCCCGAAAGTCGCAGTTGCCGGCAGCTGCGTTTTCTCAACGCGATCGTTAAGAATATTGGAACGGTCGATTAAGGAGGAAGGCCTAGAAGAAGACACTGCACGTATCTACCCAAGCCATGAAGTTCCAATACAAGGAAGACCATCCTTTTGAGTACAGAAAAAAAGAAGGAGAGAAAATCCGAAAGAAATACCCAGACCGGGTGCCTGTGAGTAGAGAGGCATAAGAATCACACCTTTGTGGATAGAATGCATTGAGCTTTGAACTAACCTAATGCGCCTTGCTAATTATTTGGGGAGTTGTATCTTGGCGTCTGATTTTTTTTCCAGATAGGATCACCTCTTGATCCTTTTGGCCTGTTAATATTGTAGTATTGTAACTGAGGAAGGGACAGACATACTGTATGTATCCCCTCCCCCACCATCCTGCCTGTTTCATGTCTCTTCCTGTTTTTTCCATGATTTGTCGTCCAATGTGCTGCTTGAGGTCTAAAGAGGAGTTCATTTCCCTCATTCCAGTACCTGCCCTACCAAACATAGAGGTAGAAGGACCACTGCCGTGTTAATAATGTAACCCTCAAAGCAAGTTTTAAAAGTCCCTAATTATGTTCCTGGAAGGGTCCATTTGCTGAAATTAATTGTAGCCTTATTTTTCTCTTTGATCCTGGCATACTTTTGGTCCTTTTGTAGCAGAGAAGCAGAGAAGTAGACTATGGCCTACTGTTTTAATATGAGGGAGGGACTACAAGAAAGCAACCTCACGGTTGCTCCATTTTCTGATTTTGTTTTTGGTCTTCATCCTCCTCATCTTTCTCAGAGATTACCAAGGATTGTCTGCTTCGCAGTTTTGAAAGGTACTGCTTATCTTTAATATTGTACTCAACTGTGCTTATTTACCACACTGTATACAGTTTTGCACTAAAAAGAAAAGAATGATTTGGTAGGCTTGTATTTTGCAATGCTACTTGGCAGTAAATTGCACTGAGAGCAATGGGGCTAATTTTCAAGTAAAGCTGTTCATAAGCCTGCACTCCCTCACCCACTAACGCAGCATGATTCAAGATACTTGTTTAAGATAGGTCAAGATGGCGAGTATTTGACCATTCAGTCACCAGGAGTCAAACCCAACCAGTGTCACCTGATTAAATAGGAAGCTTTCAGTTGGAATTTAATTATAATGTGTATCTTGTTCTTGTTTGATAATATCACATGCTTTTATAGATGGTTCCTTATTCACTCTCGCAACATTATTTTATAAAAATTATTTTGGATTTATGAATGGTAAATAGCTAATATTAATCTGTTCCAGAATTGTCAAAAACTCTTCATGTTGTGATTTACCAGTATTTTTTTCAGCATGTTGAGGTTTACTCTTCTTTGGGAAGTTAGTCTGATACTGCTGTTGGGCAGTACCTGGTTACAGTCCTTTTTTTGCCAAGCCTTGTTAGTAACAGTTAGTAGGGCCTATATATCGAAATGGAATGACTGAAGGATAGCATTCGTCATGACACTGGCTGATCCAACTGAATATTTTACTGGATTTTAATATAACTGTGTATATTGTGACCGTCTTGGGATTTTTTTAAATGAAGGTGAGAGAGAGAATTGTTTTTATATATGCATAACATTTTTTAAGATCTTAAAAATCCTATTAGGCTGTTTTTTGCAGAAATATTTATGTCATTAGGTCAGTTTTTGAAACTTAGAGTCTGGGACATGATAAATACCTTTAATTATAAATAGTAGAAACGTGGGTGACACCTGCATCTTTACTGCAGGCACATAGCTGGGTTTTCCTGATTTTTTAAATTTTTTCAGCCATTTTTCTCCTGCTAAATCATAAAAATACTGAAAGTGCCAGCATTCTCCAGATTTCTACTGTTCCCAAGCACAATCTTAGCTAAATTGTTCTTGTGGAAGAGAAGAATCTTATGTTTGGACTGAATGAACTGCAATACTATATAATTGTGGTGCTCGGTTAATAAGCAATACTATGTCAACTTAAGGTACAGGCCCCATGGTAGAATTTTTCAAATGAAGGATATTGAATGCCAAGACTAGGAAAACAAATTATACAGCAGGAAACAATTTTGAGACTGTAAAAGTGAGGTATGTGGAGTTGAGGGCTTAAATAATAGGCGGTTGTCAAGGGAACAGGCTGATTCTTGAACAGGAGGGCGATGGGATAACAGGGACTTTGCAGCTATTATATTTATTCCACCATATTATTCTGTAATAGGATAAATGACAGATGAAGGTCAACTATGAATTTATTGCTTTATGTATAACTTTTAAGGCTGTCTGTAGCTACAAGGGAAATGGCCTGATGCCTCTGAATATTTCCTCTTCAGAAAAGCCTAATGGGGCATATAATTTGCAATGCAGGTTCATTTTTACTATATTCAGGTGTTAGGTTAAGAATCCTTGGAGAAACTATCCCTCCAAAAGAGGTGAGACTTGTTAGGTCACCAAGATGACTATGTGAGATTTGGCCAAACTAGCTTTTCCTTTAATTTTGGCTACTTAAGATTCATCTTTGAAAACTAAATCCATTGGCAGAAGATATGATCATATATTTGTTTTATTTAGCTGTATTTAAAAAAAAAGCAAAACCAAGCATAGTATTTGAATTAAAATATTACTTAACCCATATGTATATATTCTGACTTCAAAGTCTCATGCAATGGATAACTTGGACTCTTAACTTCAGAAGAAAAGATATTGAGAATTATATTATTCTGCTTCTGCCACAGAACATTAAAATAGTTGGAGGAGGAAGACTTTTTCTAGAAATGGAGCCCTAGCAAATGACAGATTGTACCAGTCTTGTTCTCATCAGGCCTATTAAAGCCTAGTTCTCTGTTAACCCTTCAGTCAATCCTCCTGCGTGCACTTATCTGTGCACCACTGCAAGCATATAGTTTTGTCTTCTTCTCAGTTGACTGATTGATTTATGCACCTCAACATGTTTTCTGTCAGTTATTCCTCTTTTTGTGTTTCTTCACATGCAGATTTCTTTGCACTATTATCTGTCCATTTGACCTTTTCTTCATTCTGATTAGGATCTGTTACTGTCCTTTTCCCCTCTACCATGCAGAATATAGTGGTAACATCATCCTTGGTTGTAATGTGTCTGTGGCTGGTTGCAGAAGCTTACCTAATGAGTTCTACGGGTTGACCAGAGGTCTTTTCAGTCCAGCTTTATTTTTTAGAGAAGTCCACAGGCAGGAGAAGAGTGTAGTAGCATTCTTCCTACTTGTGTTCATATGTCAGTATGCAAAAGCATGCTATCTCCATGCTATGGTGGAGGCAGTATAGAGCCTCTGATGATAGAGACTGCAGTTAGCAGTCATATCTGAGGCTATTGAAAGCTTCATTAATTGGGTGTTGAAAGCCATCCAGTTTGGTGGTTATCCCCACATTCTGAAAAAAACAAATTCCAGATTCTCATGTAGAATGTAGCAAATGGTAGGAAAGACTCAAGAATTTGTTGCTGGATGGAAACTATTGGAAATTCTTCAGACAGTTATTTTGTCATGTGACTATTGGTTTCTATTTTGCAGAATGGATAGGACAAGGGAGAGGCAATGTAATCAAGAGTTTTGAGATGGAGTTTTTTTTCTCTGGTTAAGAAAGATTCCACTAGAAGAGAATATCTGCAGCTCAGGGTTGAACTGTGGAATTCTTGGTGCTCTCTGAGTTTGGTTGTTTTCTTGCAGACATTTCATTTCCCAACTAGGTAACATTATCAGTGCAAGTGAGCATGGGGTTTGCTGCCTGTTTATATATAGTAGTTTGCCCTGCCAGTTTTGGTGGAGGTGTTTCCCCACAAACACAAACAACCAAGCTAAAAAAGATTGCCTAAATTCACCTTCTCTAAGCACATTTCTCTCCTAATTTGAGAGACTGCTTCCATCCTAAATTGGCATTATGGAACTCAGAAAAACTTGAGGGAGTGCCTGTCTCCATATGTTTCTACCCATCTGGTGAGATCAGCTAGAGTGGGCATGCTCCAGGTCCTATCAATTAAGCAATGTCAATGTCTTGCAGGACCCAGGAAGAATGCTTCTGACTTTTCAAATGACCTTGGAGATCCGTACTGTTCCCATCTTACTGATTTTTCACAAATTGTTAAAAACCTGTTTTTTTCCCAGGACTTGGGTTACAATGGCGGTCAAGCCCATTAGAGGTGTGTTATTTTATTTTGTTTGGTTTGGTTTGGTTTGGTTTTTTGGTATCCTTTTGGTTTTTTGTGTTATGGGGTTGGTTCTTCTGGTCAGTAGTATTCCCTTTTCTTTGAGATGTATTGTTTTTTGTTTTTGTTTTTTAACTGTAAACTGCCCAGAGTTGTGGAAAAGAGCGGCCTTGAAAGTGAAATATTGAATAAAATTTAAAAGGTTCAGGTGTGGATTAAACAGTATTATGAGCTGACACTATAATATATAGCTGTACTCTATATGCATGGATCATAGTACAATATTTTTTAAAACTCATCTATATAGAACACACCCACTCCAAATATGAAATTCCCTCTGTGCTTCAAATAAGTTGCTGACAAGTAGCTTACTTAAAACATTAAAAGAGATAGACAGACAGACAGACAGACTAGAAGACAGTGAATGAAATCTGTTGCTTCTAGTATGCTTATTTTAGCACAATAATTTTTGGATTTGTTCTGGAGAATTCTAAGGTTTTTGGGGAGTTTATCAGGGTTCTCTATAGTGGTCTGTGTCTCAGGTCATCTTTCCCTGTTAATTCACAAAAACTATCAAAAATAAGGAACAGGGGTGTGCTAGGGCTCACTCTTGATTCATAACAGAAGATTGTGGCTAAAAGTTTTAGCAATAATTTGTGAACAGAGTATGTATCCTTGAGCGCCTCACTCATATCTTTGCTGAATCTTCAACAGCTTGCAGGACTTATATGGTGGGTATATGGAATCCTCCAGTAGATTAATTGCATTTGTGAATCTAAAAGATTTGAAAACTGTTACCATTATTGGTGATAAAACTGGTAGAACTACGTTCATGTAAGTGATAGGATAATTAAGGATATTCAGATTATAAAGAATAATCATGCTAGTATTAATTAGGGCTTATATACATATAACAAAAGAAATTATATGTTAGGGCCTCCCATAAAATATATGTGTATAACATAATTTTTATTGTTGGATTGCTTTCTCTTTTTATTGCTATTTTTCTTCTTGTTTTACTTTATTGAATCAATCAATCAAGCTGTCAGATCCAGATAAACCACCAGATGGCAGCAAAGAGTTCCATCAGAGAGCTGCCTTTTTGCAATACAAATCTAATAGCCTTAATTTGGTAGAACTGATGAGTCATAATAAAGACAAAACCAGTTGCATAGCACCTCCTCCTAGTCAGTAGCAATTATAACATCTGCAAAAACTATATAACCCCCCCCCCCCCATTAAGAGAGAGGCCTTGAGGCCTCTAGCATGAGCCCCAGTCACATAAGAACAGTAAGACCTCCAGTCTGAGACTATATAAAGAGAGAGATCCATTCTAGAATCTGGTAGCCTTACATTAAGATGATGGTGGTTCAGGATGTGAACCAGGGGACACTGAACACTGCTTTCCCCAAATGACTCTGATAGCTAAAAGGTGGGATACTAACTTGAACACATGGAACACTGCTGTAGAAAGTTATAAAGGCCAAAAATATTTGTGTTGACTGATTCATGGAATCTGGGTCACTTGAAGTATATTTATGGAACAAAATAGTAGAATTTCATGACTGTACTGTTAGGGATTCAAGGAGAGCTATTGTTGGACCCAAAATGGGGTTCTTGCCCGGAGACGACTGCCAATAACTTCGCTGGACATAAGAAACCTTTATAAGTTTCCTTTATTGTTGCGCAGCAGTAAAGGGGCTACCTCTGTCAAAAGAGGCGCACCGAACACAAAGAAATCAGGTTTTTTTAATACGTTAAGTTCAAGAAAACAGAGGCAAAAGGAAGAACAATGATTGGTTAGGAGCCTCTTTATGATCTTGTGCATCATACCAGTACAAACTTAGTTATTATGATGAATGACTGTTGGGTGACAGCTTGTTATCATAAAGAGACAATATGCCTATAAGGGACAGTATACAATACTAGGAAGTCTGGTATCAGAAAGAGATAATATCCAGGGAAGGGTCTGTAACAATCTGTCACTCTCAATTCCCAGCAAAGAAAATCTTCTTGAAACCAGTATAGGTTCAAAGAAAAGCTCATTTATTGAGAAGTAGTGTACAGGTCCAAAGCGTTGCTAAGACTAAGCCTGCGCGTGCCAAAAAGTCACTTTGCCCATTTCTTAGTGCACCCCCTCTTGCCTCCTATCCCCAGCTTTCACAGTCCTCTTCTCCGTCACGCATTGGTACGACCTTGAGCATTCTTGAGAATCTGATAACAGCCCATCTGCTTCTAATGTCTCCTTCCTGGCATGGCCCCCCACCCTCTTTCTATCCACAGTGGCAAAAACGAAGCAAGGAAGCTAGCAAGTTGGCTAATTGATTGCGAGGATTCTGACAGGGTCACTAAATTAGTTTGCATTTATGTATCTCTACCATCAGGAAGGGGTACCAAAAGGAAGGGGAAAATACAGGCTAATTCCTCTGTGCCTTGGGAGGTTTCAGATATGGGTTACTACATCCTTACCCTAAAGAAGGGTCACTAAGGTTAATTGGGAAAGACCCATTATAGGTTAAGGCTGGGAGGGATCAACTATAGATTCTTGTTTTCTCACAGGAATTGCACGTACAGTATTTTTCCATTTCGTGCCCCTCACGATGGTGCATCTTCCAAATATCTAAAAAAACATGCTAAGTGACGTGCAGTTTGGCTGCTATCAAATAGTAATTTTAATCACGTTCCCTTTTAGAATTGTGTGGTTGATATTTTTGGTGTGTGTGTGTATAATTTTTTAAATCAATTTGTTTATCTGTAGACTGATACACAGGAATTACATATAGACAAGATGTTCAAAATAGACTCAAAAGGTTTTCAGTTCCTCCTCTGCCAGTCCCCCACAATTTCAGTAATGAGCATATGAGGTCAAGGATTAAAGTCCTGTCAACATAAAACATCCACAACAATTTTTAATTTGTTCAACATTTGATTATTAATACATATGTACAAGCATTTCACTGAAAAAGATTAAAGAAAAAGAAATAATTCAAGGTCAAAACAATTTTTAGACCTAGCCAATAACTAACTGGTAGCAATTGTTTTTACTAGCCAGTTGTAAAATATAATTCTTTCCTGATGCTTTCTCAAAATGGACATCAGTTTGGTGAGATTAAATTATGTATTAATACTTGGCCTTTATCTAAATTATTGAATATACCTGTATATAGTTTTTCTAAAAAAATGTTTATTTCTAATTTAATTCACTTCATGGCTTTGGACTTTTTTCTTTCAAATATTAGAGTAATATTTTTCATATCTATCTAAGAAAAAAGATGGGGAAACAGAGAGATAATGGGAGAGACTTGAATATTTTTACAACATTATGGTGAGAAGCCCCACACTTGTTTTATAAGGAGCAATGGATAATATGGCCTCTTTAAGGGAAGTTTATTTACTCTATTTTTTCTTCCTTTCTCTCTAGGTTATAGTGGAAAAGGCACCCAAAGCTAGAGTACCTGATCTGGACAAGAGGAAGTACCTTGTCCCATCAGATCTCACAGGTAAGTATATCTTGTTCCATACATTTTAACTATATTACCTGCTAAATATTCTTTGGACTAATTTCAGTTCCAGTCTCAGCAGCTTACTGGGTGACTTTGAGACAATCACTCTTTCTCTTAGCTCAGCTAAACTCATAAGGGCTTGTCATCAGATAAAGTTGGGGAAGAAATGTTCTGTATGTTGCCTTGAATTGCCCAAGAAAAGCAAGATATAAATCTAACAAATAAATAAAATGAATAAATACGCAAAAATATTTTTAATAAGCAATATATGGGTAAAAATAGAATAGAATGTGACATTCCCCTCTCTGTGTCTCATTGGCTTTGAGTAAATATTTAATACTTCTTTACAGTATAGGAGGAGAAAATCTGCTTAATGCATCTTCATTTAAATAAGAGAAAGGGGAGGGGAGAGGAAGAAGTTCTTAACTTCTTGGATAAATAAATTACATTGAATCTTCTTAACTAGTAGGTAGCATTGTGACTGCTTTAGTGATAGATTTGTTAAGATCTATTTGGTAGTTATCCAATGAAAACTAGTATGAGGCCCGTCTGCTGGTTCTGTTTTGGAAAAGTATAATGACTTTTGTAAGGCATTAAAGACTAGGTTGTTTCCTTGAGCATTTGGGCAAGGAAGTTAAACAAGTCTTCCTGGTTGGTTTCTCTGGCTTTTGTCTTGTTATTGACTGTGAATATGGAATTACTTTTAGCCCTCAGAGTATGTGTTATACTGATAGTTTTTGGTTGTTTATTTTTATTAATCGTGTTGCTGTGTCTTTTTGGTTTTAATCTGTTGTTCACTACTCAGAGTCACTGTTGTGAGATGGGCAGCCATATGAATTGAATGAATGAATGAATGAATGAATGAATGAATGAATGAATACATCATTATATAAATAATCAGTGAGAAACTTTAGTCCTGAATTTCAACATGGACCATTGTTGACACTGTTGTTGTTGGCAGCAGTATGGAAATAGTTTGCCATTACCTTCTGCCAAAATGATTTTTTTTAAACAGTACTTCCAAGTCTAGTTAATGACCCTGGAATTCTAAAGCAGTCCTTCATCCAAGTACCAATAATGGCTGACCCTACTTAGTTTCTGAGACCAACTCTTGAAAACCAAAGAAAATAAGAAGTTTGGATAAATGATTATTTTTTTTCCTTAAAAAATTACAATAACTACAAACAATACAATTAAATTGTATTCCTGGATCAGGAGGCTCTACTCTCAGTCAGTCATGCCCTAGTCATCTCCCAAATGGACTACTATAGTGCGGTCTACATGGGGCTGTCCTTAAAGAGTGCCTGGAAGCTTCAGCTGATGCAAAATGCAGCAGTGGAGGCAATTATTGGTCTCCAAGATCTGCACATGTTACACCTCTGCTACACAAACTCCACTGGTTGCCAGTTTGCTTCTGGGTCCAATTCAAAGTGCTGGTTATAACATTTAAAGCCCTACATGGCATGGAACTGGGACATTTGAGGGACTGCCTCTCCCCAGTTACATCTGCCTGTACATCTGCCAGTTATATCTGCCATCAGGTCCAGCAGAAGAGGCATGTTGCAGGTCCTGTCAGCCAGGGAGTTTCATTGGTCAGGGCCTAGAAAGAAAGCCTTTTCTGTCATGGCCCCTGCTCTGTGGAATGTCATTCCCCCTGAGGTAAAGCTGGCCCCCAACGCTGTTGGTCTTCTGGAAGGACCTTAAAACGTGGTTCTGTCAACTAGCTTGGGAATCCCATGATAGAGTGGAACTTGCTAGATGGTTGTATGACAGTTAATGGAATGCACTCTCTGGATGTTTTGCTGCCATTTTGGGTTTTTGTTACTTGTTTTTACGTTTTTAAAAAATTTAAATTGGTGGTTTTTTAAATATTTTGATTATTATCATGTATGCTGCCCAGAGTCACTATGTGAGATGGGCAGCTATACAAATGTGATTAAATAAAATAAATAAATAAATAGGTTAAAAAGGGAGACAAGAATAACAATTCAAGAAACCAAATATTAATATTTCTTTAATATTCCTCCCACACATTAATACATATCTGGTATAAAGCAATTATGGTTCCCCTGGTTAGTATTAAGATATAAAATCAGACCATATATTTGAGAAGGCTTTAAATTTAGCTTGACCGGTATGCAAATAAAGAGTGCCGGTCAATTTCTCTGCTATGGAGATATGCCAGACATTTTGATACCAGAGCTCTGACATCATACTTTTATCTTTGGAGGGTTTAGCTTTGGATATTCTAGAGGTAGTCAACAAAAATACCACTAATTTTTAGAGCAAATATTATTATTCGTTCCTAAAAATATATTTAGCAAAGCAAGTTGCAGACACATTAATTCTTTGACTTATAACTTTACCAATCACCAAAAACACTTCAGCCCAGAAGGAAAAAACATGGGGATATGACCACCACAAGTGCAAATATATTCCCTTTTCCTCACAACCATTCTAACAAAGAGGAGGTTTTTTGGTTTTTTTGTTTTATCCATACATGTTAGTTTATAAGGAGTCATAGGAGTTATTCTATTTCTATAGAAATAATTTAAGAAATTTTTCTTTAATTTTGGCTGAGGATGATGACACTAATTTCCATTTCCATATTTTATTCCATTTTTGATTCTTAATCTCTTATTGGAAATTTGTTTCCCAAGCCATTTTCAAGCCAATTAGACACTAGTATCTTTGTTCAGTAATAATATTATATAATTTAGAGATGAGTCTTTTAGATGAGTCTTGAAAGATTCAGTACCACTGTTTCAAAGTTTGTCAAAGGTCTGTTTCCTCGAGCTTTGATTTCTGAATTAACAAGATCAACACCGTAAATGAAGTAGCTAAGAAGTTAACTCATTAATTATCAACTCTAAATCAATAAGATCACCAGAATGATAGAAATCCTTCAGTCTGTATAATTTCTGATTCATCTTTGGTTTATAAAATATAATAATGAATATAGGGAATTTAGGGTAGCTAAGAAGAGAACGAGGAGCTAAGGGTTTTAGCCATTTCGCCCATATTGTAAAATTAGCACTCCAAAAAGGATTGTCATTGGCTTTAAGCCTTTTAACAGCATCTGGTAGGAAGAAGGAGTTTTTAATATCTTTGCATATATCTCTGGAGCCTCTATTTCAACACATTTTGGTTTCCATCTCTGCTAATAACCAGATGATATTTCATAAGTGGAAAGCTCCATAATAAAAAGATAAATTTGGAATTCCAAACTTACCCTGAGATGGGACTAAAAGAAAAACAGAGAGCCATATACGTGTTTAGAGATGCTAGTGGCACCAGAATAACTAGTGGGCTAGAGGTCTGTAATCCTTTTGTTAATTTTTATTCTACTTTATCTACTGTAAACCCCATGAATAATAAAGAAGTTAGAGTGGCTAACTTAGAAAGGGGCTCTTACCCCTTTCTCAAAAGAAGAGATAAAGTCATCTCAAATTTGAGGAGATATAAATCACCTGGCCCAGATGGCCTTACAGCCTTGTTTTATAAGAAACCGGGAGATATCGTAATTCCAAAATTAGTGACTCTTTTTAAATCTGTCTTAAGGGGGAGTTCAATTCCAGAATCACGGATGTATTCTAGACCAGGAATTGGCAAACTTTTTCTGTAAAGGGCCAAATAGTCATTATTTTAGGTTTTACAGGCCAACAGGTAAAATTTAGGGTATTATGTAGGTACCAGGAGAGAAAACAAATCTCCACAAAAGTTTATTGATGAAATTGCATCCCTCTGGTCCTGCCACAGCATTTCACTTGACATGGTGGGAACTGTAAAGTGATGACAGCCAGGCGAGGTTGTAAGCTCTGGCAGTCCCACCCCTCCTTAGATGCGGCTGGCAGGTCTGCAGGCCATGGCAGCCATTAGGTGGTGCCAGCCCACTAGCAAGGAAGGTGCTGATAGGGCATCCCACCCCCAGCCTTTGGCTCCACTCCTCACTCCAGGAGCTCAGCTGAGGCTTGGACCTGGTGATCTGCTGCCCACCTGTCCATTCTTAGCTTGTGGGCCATACAAAAACAGGTGGTAGGCTGGATTTGGCCCATGGGCCATAGTTTGTTGACCCCTCTTCTAGACTGACCCTGTGTCCTGTCCCAGGCCAAACATGCACAAACACATGAGTGGAATGGTTGCAAATTGTACTGATAGTCTTTTAAAAGAAGTACAGGAGTGGCAGGGAGAACATGAGCACAAATGCACACACAAGTGGGAAAGAAGTTCCAAAACTCAAGCAAACCTGCCTTATTAGAGTCCCAAGATTTCCAAGTCCAAAGTAGCAGGCAAAAGAGTAGTCAGAGTGAGGTCTGAGGGTCAAAGCATCACAGAAGGTTCAACAGCCAGTCTGGGATCCAAAGTCAGAATCATGGGATTCAGAAGTCAAGATCTGAGGCACACGGAGCCTGGGTTAGTGAATGACAGTTTCCAATGGAGAGGCTTGGGCATGCTGCTCTACTTAAAGAGAGTAGAGTGCTGGTGTTGCTCATTATGGGAAGTCATGGCTCCTTTCCTGTAAGGTCTTGCAGAGTGCCTCAGCTCCTGTTGATTAAAATATGGCCCTACCTCAACTTCCTGCAATTTCTCAGGTGGCAGTTCATCTGGTGTCTCCAGAACAGGCTGCTCATTGTCATTTTCCTCTTCTGAGTCAGACGCTCAGACGCTCTCCATGACACCTTGTTTCTTAAGCCATAAAGATAAAGAACTGGTAGAATCTTATTGTCCTGCACCTTTGCTTTATCAAGAATTAAAGATTTTTCAGCTTGTTTGGCAAAAAGACTAAACTCCTTCTCAAGGTACTGCCTAAATACTGATCAAGCTGAATTTATTAAAGGTAGACAGATTGCAGATCCAACTCGCTGTATTCAAAATTGCCTTGTATTATAGCAGACAAACTGAAACTCCCTTAGCAATTCTTACCTTAGATATTTTTAAGGCCTTTGATTGACTGCAGTGACCTATTTGATTACATTGGTGGAACATCTTCAAATGGAAACTGGATTCATTAACATTCTTAAACAAGTATATGGTAAATTCTTTGCAAAAATCTTAATACAGGTAGTCCTCAGTTTAAGAATGAGTTCTGTTCCCAAGGTCTGTTCTTAAGTTGAATTTGTATGTAAGCTGGAACAGCATTATTGTGTATAAGTAGTATTGTGTAATGAACTATTGTGTATTTAACTCAAATTTTACTAGAATAGAGTCCGTTCTTAACGATGGGTCGTCCGTAAACCGGGCGTTCTTAACCCGGGGACTAACTGTAAATCTATGCAATACTGAACCATTTGCATCACTAGGGGCACAAAACAGAGACATCCATTATCTTACTTATTCATGCTGGCCACTGAACCTCTAGCTCAAGCTATTAAACACGACCAGCTTATCAGAGGCCTCTTAATCAACAAAACATATAATCAGATGACATAGCCCTAATATTAGGACACCCTATTCATGTAGTTCCTTGAGTTACCAGAGCAATTGGCAAAATTTAAGTTTGTAGGAGACTTAAAATTAAACTTTTCAAAATTGTTGTGAGCCAAAACATCAAGCATAATCTTTTAAAACTTGTTGGTATTCTAGAAATTGCCAAAACAATATGGTATTTGGAAATCATTTTTTTTTAAACTCAGTTTGGTACATTGAACTTTGCCCCTGAAATAAAATCTACTAAAATAATAATTAAAAAACAAAACAAAACAGGATAATATCAAGTTATCATGGCTTGGAAGAGCTGCAGCCACTAAGATGGTTTTGGTCTCTAAATTTATTGTTTTTAATTCAAGTTTTACCAATTCATTTATCTTTGTTAACTCCTAATGTTAGGAAACATTATTTCCTAACTTTAAACTTACTGGGAAAAGACTGAGGTTACTAGTCAATGAACCCTCTTTTATTCCCACACTTCCTCTGCCCATGTTACAATACAACTCAGCAGGATAATAACCACAGGACTGCTTCCTATATCCAATGGGCATCCTACAACTGTAACTACCTTTGAAAGTTAAAAGTCCAACTTTTGCTGGACAGCTTACAGTGGATGTGCTTATAGTCACTTTTGTATGAATCAGTGTCTTAAAGGGAAGGTGTTTCAATAAGCACAGAGGGGAAAAAAAGCCATTGTAAACATTGGTGCATCTCTACACTCCATATAAATTTGCCGGTGTATACAACTAGTTCACTCAGAGCAATTATGACTGAAATGTGATCTCCCCAATAGTTCTGCATGTTCTCAGGAATGATTGGGTGGGGGGTTCTGAATGGTGTAAACTAAACCTATAAAAGGGTTGTAACGTGTGTTTCAGACAATGCTATAGAACAGCCTGGAGGGATATTAGCACTATCACAAAGAGGTCCATAGAAAAAGTACCTCTGAATCTGCAGAGTCAAATGTTGGGAGTGTAAACAAAACTGTATGGTAGCTTGCATTGGCTCTTTATTTCATTTGGTAAATTAATATATTGACCTTCAAGGTAATAGGCAGTTTAAAAAAAAATCAGTATAAGAAGAATTAAATATCAAATTAAAAAGTATAGCAGCAGAAAATGCAACAAACTGAGAACGAAATAACATTAGTTTTTGTTTTGTTTTGTTTTGTTTTGTTTTAACTCCTGGTGACTGCCTAGACTAGTCCCTGAAGATTTCTCAACAAGATTTTTTGGAAGTGGTTTGCCATTACCCCCTTCCTAGGGCTGAGAGAGAATGACTGGCCCAAGGCCACCCAGCTGGCTGTCTTCATGCCTAAGGCGGGACTAGAACTCGCAGTCTTCCGGTATCTAGTCTGGTGCCTTATCCACTACACCAAACTGGCTCGTAGCTAATTTTAAGACAGAAGAATTAAAATATCTTCACATAGTACTGGAAAGACATCAGTGTTCTCATTCACCTCATTTCAGAAGAAGAGGCAACCAGATGGAGCAACAACTCCATCAAAGATTTCTATATGAGGGGAAATTATCTATATCTGATACATTTTTTTCTTTGTTATTTCCCACTTCTTCTGCCTTTTCTAGTTGGTCAATTCTATTTCTTGATCCGAAAGCGAATCCACCTGAGGCCAGAGGACGCCCTGTTCTTCTTTGTCAACAACACCATTCCTCCTACCAGTGCTACTATGGGTCAGCTGTATGAGGTAAATACTAGCATTCCTTTTCTAATGGTGGAAATGATGGAACAGTCCCTGCATAGCAAATAATATTGCTCTGTATTTAATACAATGCTTTTGCTGCATGAAACTAAATAATTCCACTTCCCATTGTCCCATTGCATCTCCAAGCATAATTTTTGAACTTTTTTGGATTTTTTCTGAGGGACCTCCAAGCACCTATTGCTGGAAGACTCAGTCTCTTATCTACAGATGAACAGCTTGTGCCCCGGAGCCTATTTCTGACACATTATATATGTATTATATGAGGCTTACTCAGGGCTGGCCCTTATGTGCTCCAAAGAGGGTCTCTTCTGTATGCCTAGGGTATGGTGATCATTCAAGCAGCAAAGAAATTAACCAAAGAATCCCATTTTCCACTGAGAATGAGTGGTCTCCTGCCTAGCACCTAATATACATATCAAACTTTAGGGCTATTTCAATTATGCAGTCACAATCATGACAATTAAGAATATGAGATATGCTTTCTTGGATGAAGCAAAGAATCTTCCCAATTCTTGCCACTACTCATGTTAATCCATCATAATTTGACAGGAAGAAATCCTTGGGGAAAATTGTGTGTGTGTGCGCGCACATGCATGTGTGTTTGAATGTAAATAAAAGGCCAGGTGTTGCTGATTAGTAAAAGGATAATGGTGGTTCCAAATTATATTAATAAGCAGTGACTTTTTCCATCTCTGCTATACATACCTATTATTTTCTGTTCTGTTCTTATTCTTTTGTCAAATTGGATTACATTAAGATGGATGGCAATGAGTTTAGGAAACAAGTCCTTCTGTCTGTCTGTCTGTCTCTCTCTCTCTTTCTCTTAACTGCCAGCTTATCTCACAGCTAATATCTTGTCTCATTCAAAATCTTTTTTTAAAACATAGCTATTCATATTTGAAGCAATGGTGTCTGTTTTCTAAAAATAATGTTAGGAAGCATCATTGAAGATTAAGTAGATTATAATCTACAGGAGGACTAACTTTTGTCAGTTTCAGAGAATTCAAGAAGGCTTCTTTGCTTAAATAGGGATGTGAGAAACAAGAGTTAGCCGTATCTCAATAAGGCTCTCTCCTTAAATATGGTAAAGCATTCTGCCTTGCTGTTAGGCTTGCCTACTGCGATTGGCTATCCTGCCTTGTCAAATATGGCTTCTGGAAGTTTCAAAGATGGAGAAGAATGGGTTGGGTGATCTTGGGCCAGTCACTTCCTCTCAGCCCAACTACCTACTTACCTACCTACCTACCTACCTATTTATATTTCAAATTTGTCACTGCCCATCTCACTACAGAGTGACTCTGGGCAGTTTACAGTAAAAACAGAATAAACAATTAAAATAGATTAACCTACCTCACAGGGTTGTTGTTGTGGGGAAAATAGGAGACAGAAGTATTAGGTATGTTTGCTGCCTTGAGTTGATATATATTAATAAAAAGAGCAGCTGGTTCCCTCTGACATTTGGAAATGAGGGGTATACTTCGTTGAGGCAGACTGCTTCTTCAAAGCTCCATATGTGTGATAAAATTCTGGGAAAGCAGAGGAAGAAAAAACAAAAAGGACCATTGCAGAAAAAATCTCTGAGCCCAGGGGAGGAGGGAAGCATGAGAACAAGACTCAGGACAACTCCACCTAATTGCACTAGGTATAAGTTGAACCGGAGAATTGCTTTGACAGGCTTCAAGGCAGGTCCTTTGGTGTGTTTCAAATTCTTTAATAAGACTGGAATACAGGTAGTCCTTGCTTGACAACCATTCTCAGTAACTGTTTGAAGTTATGACAGCACTGAACAAATGGTACTGACGCCCAATCCTTGAAGTTATGGTCATTGCAGCGCCCCTGTGGTTACATGATCAAAATTTGGGCGCTTGATAGCCTGCCCGCATTTATGGCAACAGGTGTGCTTCAACCTCCCCCTGTCCACCTATCTCCCCCTCCATCTCTGCCCTTTTGGCCACTCTACGCTCTGCTGCCCCTGCCACTCTGCACTCTGCCACCCTGCGCTCTGTTGCCCCTCTTTCAGAAGGCCTTATGAGACCTCAGGAACAACCTTGGGAAGAAGGCCTCACGCAACCAATAGCTGCCTCATGAAGGGCTAGGCTGGGCATGGGAGGAAGAAGACAGTTGGGGGCAGCACGGGTGGCAGAGCACAGGGTGCCTTGTGCGACCTCCCACCCTTGGCAGCAGCCATCCATGGCCTGACTGTGCTCACACCAGGCCACAGCAACCACTTACCCACCCACTAACCTGCTTGTGAGCTGCCTGGGACTCACAACTTCCTGCTGGCTTCCCCATTAACTTTGCTTCTTGGAAGCCGGAAGGAAGTTGCAAGGAGGTCCTTGCTTAACGACCAGCGATTCTTGCTTAACAACGGCAATGGGGACTGCCATCACTAAGTGATGTGGTCACATGACATCGTGCTTTACAACTGCATCGCTTAGCGATGGAAATTCCAGGCCCAATTACTGTTGGTTACATACAGGTGGTAGTTACATACTGGACTACATACAGGTAGTCCAGTCCCAGACTACCTGTATGGATAGACTGTCTAGCTGATAGATTGCTACTTCAGACTATATCAGTTGTCCACTTCAGGATAGAATTAGGAATCCTTCTGCAAAGCCAATAGAATTCTCTTCCTCAGTCCCTGAGGCTTAAGAGCAGGTGCTCTTCATTCATGTGTCTAAAACCTTTATCTGCAGGGATTTTCTTCAGAAGCTCCAGAGAATGGGGTTTTTCTTTTTTTTAAGAGTTATACAGTGATACTACAATTGATAATACATAACAATAAACATACAGTATACATAAACCAAATAACTATTATAGGAATTACTATATGCATAAAAGGAAAAGTCTAAGTAAAACTAATTAAGGGGGGAAAATAAAAGAAATACATTTTAAATACTGTGTTAAACTTATATGAAATCTCATTGTCTAATCCTGCCATTCTGTTGAAACAAAGCTTATTCAAAGACTGAGAACTGACAAGTTTCACTGAACCAACATTTAGAATCTGGTGTGCAAACATCTTTCTTGAAGTACATTATCACCTTCACATCAGTCCAGTATGATTTATACTGGATTTATACTTCGTAAACTGAGACGTTCCAAATTTTTGACATGTACTTTAATAACACATTGACACACCTTCCAAGAACTTAGTTCACCTCAGTAATAATATTTAACCAGTAAAGAACTACTAGTGAACATAAAAATAACATATGCGCTAAAGTCTCTTAAATTTTATTATATCTCTAGCATCCTTTTTCTAACATCCTTTGTACAAAACATACCTAAGATTTCTTAAAACCTGAAGCCATTGATTTTGCAATATAAGGTATTCTAGTTCTGTATATTACTTGTATATGAACCAAATTTATTTTGTGATTTTTTAAAAAATGATAAAAAATTGTTGGGTTGGTCTCTATAAAAGCCTTCTCCAGTACACCCAATGCTTCCAAAAATTCAGAAGCTTCCAACAGTGAAACCAGTTTTCCAGCTCTATATATTTTACCAGTTGGTTATTGTAGTTAAGTTACATCCTTCTTGTAATGCTTCAGAGGTTTAAAGATATAATTACTTATCTGCTTGAAAGTGTTAATCCTATTTTTGCTAAAATTCTAAAAACAGCAGCAAATTTTTCAGGCCATATTAAAACAGGGATTATTCCACAGTATTGAGAATTGGTATCAGATTTTATTTTTTTTGCCCAATAAGATCCAAAAGTTTCTAACAACTTTTAATGCTGGAAAAATAAACACATTCCTACTGTGATTAAAACCAAGAATTTACCAAGTAGTAACTCTTCAACTGAGACCACAATGGAAAATAACCAGTGTCCTTTTAACTACAGTACATTAGTGAAGTTAACAAGCCAACATATTAAAAATACAAGGAAAGAGATTCAGGCTAGAGGAACAAATTAACATATGAAGTGGTAAGTTCTGTGTGAAGTGGTCTTCACACAGGGGCTGGATGCTCATCGTTTAGAGATGCTCCTGCACTGAGCAGTTGTTTGGAGTAGATGAACTCTAAGGTACCTTCCATCTTTATATTATGATTCTAAACTGCAAAATGAAAAAAGAATATATAAGACAAAATGGATGGACTATACTTTCTACACTAAGTAAAAATGTAGCCAAGACACCCAGTCAGTTCTCTAAACCAATACTGTCAATCATTTCTGAGTAAACTGTTGAAACAATTTTGCAATAATCTGGCAATCCATTTATTGCCTGACATACTAAGGGCCATTTCCAGGTCATAGAATTTCTTCACACCAGTATTCAGGAATAATCCAAAGTTTGCATGATAACAATAATATGGTTTTTGCTCCCTGATGTCTGGCCTTGAGACCTGCTGCTTGGAATTCTTTGTTTCTCCATAATATCTGGGAACAACTCTGGAAACAGCATGAGATTCCCCCCCCCCCAACATTCTAGAACTTTTGCATTCTTCATTGTTTCTAATATTTTATCACATTCAAACTTGTGAAGAAATTCACAAGGGTTGGGAAATTGTGAAGACTTGTACCTTGAAGTAGATTTAATGAATCCAAACATTACGATCTGATTGAAATAGCTTCTGAAAGCATGTTATTGTGAGACCTACTAAAGCTTGTTTATGTTCCAAATTAAAAAAATAGAAAAAGCTTTTTTTCTGCCTTATATGCCTGATCTTAGATCCAGTCCAGAGCTTCTTGGCAGGGCACCAACTTTTGTTTTACTTCAAGCAACTAATGCTGTTATCAATTTCTTATATGCCTTATGCTTAGCTTCTTGCCAAGAAGTTTAGGTGCCAAAATATACCCCAAAAATTGGGTTCGGCTTATCAGTGGATGGGTGTATATGTGCACCCCCAATAGACAGACAGACAGACAGACAGATAGATAGATAGATAGATAGATAGATAGATAGATAGATAGAATATGCATGTATTACTGTACTAATATATTATGTATGTTATAAAACACTCCAAAATCAAAAATCAAAAAGAATGAGATAAAGGATAAGATAGATAAATATCAATAGATGTTCTGATATTTTCTTTCTGCACCCAAGTGAATCAT